AGCAGAGAACATAACTATCACTATTTCTACACTCATGACCTGTGACTAGAATACCCTCACATGGTCCTTAACATTGGTCTGGGTTGCTTCCGAGTCTGTCCGCCCTGCTACTTCCTCCTCCGCTGTCCAAAACTCCATCCTGGAGATACTCATCTCCGCCACCTCCAAGGAGACTTAATCCACAACCTTGCAACATCAGTCATTGCCACAACATCAAACTCCTTTCTATACTATCCACTTGTAGATCACGTTGCCATTCCATAACACATATACTCCGAACCTGGACACACAACTGATAAACCTATACAAAGTCCTCATCACACTTCCTCGATATCTTCATCACTTGAAAACAGACCCACTGATTGCTATTAGCATAGCAGTATACTCCATACCCGTACATAGATCTACAGTACATACAGAGTCTTCAGTATAACTGAACCGCCTTACCAGGCCTTCGGTCTATTCGGACCGTTCAACTGTTGAGTAATCCCTAGGACCACTCCTTCTGGTGATCTTTCACATGCAGACTGTCCTCACCCACTTGGGTTCCGAAATCTTGATCCATTCCATGGACTCTACCCCGGCCTAACCCTAGGCCTTATATCGATTGTTTTTCCCCCTCGGAATTTTCGTGGTCTGCTCCCTTAACCGCGTGCCTACCACATACTCTAGATCACCCGCACACCCGTTCTGGGAGCACTGTCGAGTCCTAGCAGCTAACAAAGCCCTCCATCTATTAATCCAAAACTTTTAGAGTCAAGCACACCTTCGGCCAATTGCTCGAGCTGAACTCAATTCATGACTAGAACTCCAACCTGATTTCCCCCAATTCCTATTATCATCAACCGAGAAGATGTGATACACATGCTGGGGAGTTTTACCGAACTCCTAACCCCCACAACCCTCAAACCAACCAGCCACTTAGGTTGTCTTTCCTCCTGACAACGATGCGAAACTTATTCCATTCCAACACCACACCTGCTTCTATATCCCGGGACGATTCTCCCCCACTTAGCTTTGACTAAGTCTTCATAATACATGATAATTTGGAGAATTCCCGACCCTTCTCACTTTCCGACTATCGATCCGATGACAACTAACTCTTTCCCACTAGTGCTCTATCACTAGCCAACCCCAAATGATCACACACTCCTAAGAGCCAGATGATCACTCCCTGAATCCCAGCTGAACTGCAACAGCTAAAACAACCTCTGCTCGGAGCCGGCAACAACTACTTCCCAATACATAGTCTACAATCCGCAGAGGTGCAATAGATCACGCAATCAATCCTTACCGCTCGTTACAAGAGATCCAAAACAAACCGGACCTCACAAAATACTTTTGCCACATCGACCCACCTGCGCTCATCCGCGCTGAATAATATCCCCAATCCCTGCAACCAATTGTCCCTAAGCTGGAATACAACTTGATCCTGGGTCACGAGTCTGCTCACTTCTTCAAGCTCGAAAACTGAAAGGCACAATCCCTGCCCCTAGAAAACAACAGCCCAATCCATCAATTAACCCTTCCACTTCCAGCTGCCACAACCCCAGCTGAACATAATCAAACATGTAACAATCATCTCACTAACACTCATACCTGGCCCAATCAGCCTCGGGCTGGAATACTAGGCATGTCTACGACGGGTCCAGTCATCCCTAGGATGGTATACCCTCGTATCACGCACACGTTTGGCCCAATCAACCTTCAGGTTGGAATACCAAACATGTCAGGTCCAATCGATCATAGGTTCCGGTCATCCTCATGATGGAATACCCTAGATTGGAATACCTCCATGAACATAACTCGGGTCTACTCATAACTTGAGCTCCAAATCCAACTCCAACATCCATAAAGTCACTGACTCGGTGACTTATATGACCCACTAGAACCCAATACTCAAAGTACAACAATCTACTTCCATGAAAAAGGCCATAACTCTTGCATGAACCCATTAAGACCTCTAAGATGGCAACTATCCCGGAACAATCTCGATCACCTCCCACCGGATGATCTCACCGACATGATCCTCTGACAACACTGGCCTTTCCTGGCTGCCAGCTCTCGATCCTGGCCTGGATCCGGTCTCAAGACGTCTCGTAATCACCATTTTGGTAATACACCAGAAAGGTCTCTGATAGCCCATATAACAATAAGGAACCTACTCCCAACTAAACCCTAGGGGTTGTGACTTCCTTGATATGCGTATGGGTCCTGTGCTTTCAGTAGTACAGGACCATACTACCTTCCACACCTACCCATATCTGTCTCAAGTATCACCACAACACCTTAACAATATACATATACATAGCGAGCGCTCAATCCTCACTCCTAGAGGAGTGCTAACTATCTCATAACTGACCTACCGGTCCCACAACCTACCCATCCATGAAACTTCCACCAACCCTGCAGCACTAGTGTATGCTAGCCATACATAACGCTGGACCCTATAGACTTTCGAATATCCAATCCTACCCTAAGCTCTCAATCAAACAAGAACAGAACATAAGGCCAAATCAAACATTCTCAGGCTATAAGATCTTAGTTATGTATAACAGTGATGCATACACTAAATAACTACAATAATGATGTCAATTCCATATAAAGAAAACCCTAGGCTAGCAGGCATCATGTAGTCAGGCAATTCTATCATGCAATTCCTGAAGATCCCTAGCCTAGTACTAGCATGTTGTTCTATCATATCACATAATCAAATAACTGTATGGTATTCTGGGGTCTATTTACTGGATCCGGCTGATCGTACCCCCTGCATCCTCTTTTACTTATTTTGAAATCCGTTTTAGAATTTATTTCGAAAACTTTTCCTTGATTTGAGACTGGATTCACACGAACGTAAGGGGTTTTGAGTATGAAAGGGTAATTAAGGAAATCTTTCACGTTTAGGAACTTGAGTTGGGTTGACGTTCGGAGTCGAGGATTTCCAGCTACATTCCAGTATTCGAGGTGAGTTACCTTCCTGGTAGCAGTGGGTCTAAGGCACTAAGGCCGACCCACTAGTAGGAGTTTGTAGTTAGATGATTGTCTGTGTGATAATTGTTTGGTATGCCATTATCTGTTATGTTTTATGTGTTAGTATGCTATGATATTGTGTGGTAGTGGTAGGGGTGAAATAGACCCTGTATCCGGTCAGTATGACCGAAAGGGGGGCCAGCACCCAGATATGCTCGGCAGTATCCGGTCGGTTAGACCGAAGGGGAGGCCAGCACCCAGATATGCTCGGCAGTATCCGGTCGGTTAAACCGAAGGGGAGGCCAGCACCCAGATATGCTCGGCAGTATCCGGTCGGTAAGACTGAAGGGGAGGGCAACACCCAGATATGCTCGGCAATATCCGATCGGACTAGACCGAAGGGGTAGGTTGGGCACCCAGATATGCCTGACAATATGTGGCTATGTGGTATGATGGGGAACTCACTAAGCTTTGTGCTTACGGTTTTCAGTTATGGTTTCAGGTACTTCTTCCTCAAAAGGAAAGGAGTCGACATGATTGCAATGCGTCACACCATGATTTCCGCACATGAGATCTTTGGGAGTTAAACTCTGATGATGTTTTAATATGACATGTTTTGATTATTGACACTTGATTTTGATATGAGATGACACGATGGATGTTTTTATACTAATAGTTTTATAATTATTTAATTAAAAATGAAATTTTTTGGTTATAAATTTTGGGATGTTACAGTATATTAGGAGTCTCTTACTTCCTTAGCTCTGACTAACAATACGTATCTCATCTTCTATTTATAAATTAAAAATCAGTTCAAAAAACCATGCTCGTGGTCTTAAGACAACAATCAGACAAGAACATGACAAGACCGAGCTCATGTTTCTAACCCAACTATTTTCTTAAATTTCTTTGAATAAAAGCATTCTTTTCCAAAACTTAATTTAAAAAATCTCTCAATCCTCAGTTTGAGTTCAGACACATTGTAAAGTGCGTCCGAATCCCTCAAACTAAGGCTCTAATACCAAGTTGTAATCTTCCAAATTTCCGACCAAAAATTTAATTAAAAAAATAGATTTATCATTTAAAAACATAAGGTAACCTGCAATATTGTAGACTGCGTCTGAATCCTTCAAACATAGACATTTAATATATTCAGTGTTTTCTAATAAAATTAAGTGTTAAAAAAATAAAAACCAAACAAAATTAACAATAAAGAGAAATTAAATCTATTCATACATTTTTTTCCTGTTATCATTCTATCAATATTAAATGTTGACAAATGGATTAAAATATTATTAATTGTATCAATATATCGCATATCAACATTTGGCATGAATAGAAAGATAAAAAAATATAAGAGAGTATTTAGATAATTTAGTATATAGTCCCTAAGAAATGAAAATAATTTTTGCTACTTGTCATCTTTTTATCCATTATATTACATATCGTTATGTGGTAAGTTTAGATCAAATTATATCCATGTCATTTTGTGGTTTGTTTCTATTTTATTTTAATTTTATATAATATTTAAATGTAATTATAAATATATATACAATTCATTAATGTAACTTTCATTATATTTTTTAAATTTCTAAATTTAATCTAACTATTTTAGTTGTTTATTTATTTGAATTATTAGTTTAAATTTAAAAGATAAATAAATACTTTAATTTTAATAATAAATATTTTATTTTTTTATAAATTTAAATTTTATAAATTGTTATTTATTTTTTCAAATAGACAAATTTATTACATCACAGCTGGTCTAAAATAAATAAAGTAAGAAACATGAATAAGAATAAGAAGCGATTGGGATCATATAAGTTAATTAGATCAGCCTAGGGTTAGGGTAGTCCCCATGGAGAAGAAGACACATGTACCTATTGACGCACCATCTGACGAAACTCTACACCCTTTTTTAATTAATAATATATATTTATTCCATAACTCACTTCGTTTCACATTTGGTCCCAAGTCTTCCTCTTCTTATTTTTTAATCCCCACTCCATTTCATCGACTTTTCAAAGCAAACCAGTCGTCTTCTTCTCTTCCTGATCACACAATATCTGGGGTTCTTCCAATCTTCATCAATACGCATTTCATTCTTTGCTTCAAATCCATCAACCACTCTGATTACCCGTTCATGTAATGGAAGCTCGATGTGAGAATATGGTTCTCAATTCATTCGACGGACACAAGTTTCCGATCAATCGCCATGAAAACAGTTCTGCGATCATTAACGAAGTGGATTTCTTCTCGAGAACTAGTACTACTGGTAATTCTTCCCTGCAGCATCCTTCTAGTATTCATCATGCCATAGAAAACAAAGAACACGACAGAGTTAATCAAGAACTCCAGCTTAACTTAAATGTAAGTTGATTTAACCATTTAATTACATCTGCTTCTTGCTAATCTCGTATCGTTTTTGATGGTTTTTGTTCAAACTGCTCGTTGAGATGACCAGTCATATCTAGATTATAATGAACAGATGCATGAACATGATTATCCTTGACCCTTTACTCCTTTTAATCTATAAGAAAATTCTTTAACCAAATATATTCGTGTTTTATGTGTCGTATATATGCAGGTGGGTTCGAATCTTAATACAATAAATACGAAAAACCAAGATGCTCATAAGGTATATATAAACTCATACGTACATATTCAATCCAGTTAAGGCACTCTTTAGCAACCCTAATATCGTTTTTCAAAATTGTGAACAAACGATGAATATGATGAATATGATGGTGTTTATTAGAAATGAATTCAGTAGTCTGATATATTTGGTCGAAGTTGGCTATATTACAGAACGAGCTTGAAAAGATGAAGCGAGAAAACGAAAGTTTGCGATCGATGCTTGCTCAAATTAAAGAAAAATATAGCTTTTTACAAAGACATATTAAGGTATACATATAACTAATATTAATTCAACATATAATCCATTGATCAAGTTTCGTTTTAATTACCATACAATGACATTGATTCAACTGATGGATATGATTTGGAAAATAATAGACTATAAATAAGGTGGAAGACGACACGTTGGAATTCAAGAAACTCACTCCACCATTAATGAAGATTGATCCAAATGTTGATAGCTCTGATATGAACAAAGATGTTAAGTTGAATTCACCAAAGGATATTTGTGATCAAGGAGCTACGGCTGAAACAACTATGAGAAGGGCCCGTGTGTCGGTTAGGGCTCGGTCTGAAGCATCCATGGTTAGTAATTTATTTATTTATTTATTTGCTAAAACAATAATTAAATTAAATTATGTATTTAATATTTAAAATCAGTTTTACAGAAATGAAAGACGTAGAAATTGCATATAATCTAGTTAATTATGGCAAATGGTGGCTATATAAGTCTACGACTACGAAAGCTGCCATTAAGTTTGACAAAAATACTTACAAATTGTCAAACTTAAGAGTCGTGGACTTTGGTCATCCTTAGTTAGAGTCATGTCAATTATGTCGATCACATCATCGGAATTAATGACTGAATGTGAGTTTTTAAACTGTTACTACAAATACCATAAAAATATTAAAATATATGATCTATGCTAAGGATGTCTATATAATAAATAGTACTATATATGTAATTCACATTTATTGGAAAGAATTAATTTTGTTGCAACAATGTTGACAGTAATTTCTTCTATGGAAACCTAATTAGTTTATCCTTAAACACATGATATAAATTAGAGATGTCAAAAGTCTCGTGGGACCCCGATCACATGGGGGCCCCGTCCCGTATGTGGTTATTTGCTGGAAAAAAAAATCGGGGATGGGGGCATGGTTAACCCCCGTTTTAATTTCGGGGGACGAGAGCGGGGGCGGTGATTGACAGTCCCGTCCCAAAACCCCCCATGGGGCACCGTTAATAAATTATATATATTTACATATATTAATTATATAAATATAATAAACAATAGGATGATTTTTACGTACCAAAATTCAACAAAAAACATATTTTTAAGTTGTTTGTGACATTTATAATTATGCTATAAATAACTATTATTATAAAAAAAAATAGTTTCTTTTAGCCAAACAAGACTTCTTTTAGCCCAAATAAGATAGTCCAAAATCAATCGGAGACGGGGGTTTAGGATGCAATCACCGTCCCGTTTGCTCCCCGTTGACACGTATACATATACAAGATATAAATAAGAACGTTAATTTGGAGTTAATGACATTTGTATTTTGTTTATATGATGCAAATTAAAGACACGAAGAAACTATAATCACATTTCACATATATGCTTGTACGTATTTTTACAGATTTCAGATGGATGTCAATGGAGAAAATATGGGCAAAAAATGGCGAAAGGGAATCCATGTCCTCGAGCTTATTATCGTTGCACCATGGTAGTAGGTTGTCCAGTGCGTAAGCAAGTAGGTTCACCTCCTTCATCATCATCATTGTTTTCTTCTCATCTAAAACTTATAATAAGATTTTTTTTTCTTTTCTTTTTTATAAATAATTTGTTCTACTAGCTGGTGATAATAGAAATGAAAGGATATTTTTGGTAACCATTAAAAAGATGAACTTTTTAGCACGAGCCTTAATTAATGGGTGTAGCCACATTGGGGCAACCTTCAACTTTTGTATATTTTCTTTGGGAAGTGATTCGTATATAACAAAATTTTGCCATACATAACAATTTATGTATTATAGAGTTGTACAATACAACATTTTAAAACATTAATTGTTGTGTATGGAAAAAAATTATTGTGTACAAATCATCTCCCATTTTCTTTTAATTTAATAAATTTGATTGTAAAGATTATTACATTAATAAAAATAATAAGAAGTTATAGAATAAAAATATTTATAATGTTATGTTAAATACATTTAAGGTGAATTTTAATATGCTTGACTCATTCGACCATTTTCATATTTTTAACTTTTTTACCGATTACATAATGTGATTATCTGAGTAGCGGCATACCGGGTTCACCCATTTGTTAAAAAGTTTGGGTTGAAATAAAACAAAGGTTGAAAATATCATAAGGGATGTCATGACGATAATGTTAAGTCTCAAACTTTATACGTTGTTACGAATCACGGCGTTTGTTAAGACGATAACTTTTTATATAATTAATCTTTTTATATTTCTATTCTATAATTATTTATTTTTTTATAAATATATAACTTAGCCATCACGTTAAATACAAACTTTGAAGCAATAACATGTTATGACAAAGCCATAAAAAACTTTTTAAAACTAACTTTTTTAATAAATAAATTGAGCGGATATGAAATTTTTTAACCCATCCTCCATAATAAATGAAATACTTTTGACACATGTTATTCTCTCATTAATTTGAGCACATGTTATTTTTTTAT